ATCAATGCTAATCACAGCCCCTCCAACACTGTTTGTTCCCCTGCAACTGTTAGAACCTCTGAGGTGTCATTTGGCCAGGGGTCAATGGTCAGGTGCCATTTAAGCACTAAATGGTCCCTTGATCATCTTTAGCAGTTCTTGTGTTCTTGCCCATTGAACACCAGATCCCCATAACTGACAAACACAAATCCAATTCTTGGAGCGATTTTGAGGATTGCAGGAACATATCCAAAACAATCACAATGGATCGTTTGACTTTTATCCACTCCTCATTTTTTTCAGCTCATGCTTCACCTTTTCACATGCCTTCTCCTGATCCTCACAATAACAAACAATGGCTAAATAATTTGTTTCCAGGAAAAGGCAAGGTGAAAGCACTTATCGCTACAAAAAATCCATGGCTACCACTTGTTCAGAGCATTGCCATTTCTTTCTTCCCCCCTTTTGTTTGAAGACATCACACTTTCCTTTATGACGGTTCCCTCTCGCTTCCTTGAAGAATAGCTGCAAACCTGTTTATCTATATAAAAATCTACACTGACAGCCCAAGGCATCAGCAAACACTCCAGCGTCGCTTGGCAGCAGTAGAAAGCTGGCGGGCCAGCTGGTTTCTTTATAGCTTTTCATGAGAAAGGGCTTCTACTGGGTGAGGTTCCCTTTAAGATGTTACACCAACTCAGTACCATCAGAAGATAAAAAGAGCCTGGTTGGATCAGACCAAAAGTCTATCTCAGGAGCTGAGAATCTCAGGCCCAAGAGCTGAATGCGGCCCTCCAGGGCTCTCTTTTCTGGCCCCTGGAACACTCCCAGATTATGTCTCTAGCTCTACAGCATACCCTGAGTGTGTTTGCCTGGTTGGCATGCATTCTTGAACTTTGATCATGCCTCTTGCTTGTACGGACAGAGGATACAAAGGGTGGTGTGAGCATGTTACATCAATTGACTTAGACTTTCTGATGTTTAATAAAGAAAGGCAGGAGGCAGTACTAGAATAACAAGCACTTCTGTACATTAGGGAGAAACCAACTTGGTTTCGAATGCTTTTCAACCTACTGTTTCTTACTCAGCTTGGCTGGACCTATTTTGTTCAGAGACCTCACAGAATGTGTATAATTCATTTTGTTCAGCCAAGTATTGGCCTCTCGCATCTAAGAGCTGGAGTGTGATGTACACATTAAGGCCACCTTCACACCATGTATATTTAAAGCACTCTGATATCATTTAACAGGAACAGCTTCCTCCCAGGAATTCTGAGAGTTGAAGTTTATGAAGGATGCCATTCTGAGATTCCCAGCAACTCGTATTCAGAAGCATGCTTCTGTCAATGGATATAGAGCATTGTCCTCCATGAATTGTCCTCCATGAATTTGTCCAATCCTCTTCTAAAGCTATCCAAGTTGGTGGCCATCACTGCCAGTTGAGTTACTCTCTCAGAACTGAAACAATGTCAGTAGCCTCATGTCATGTATTATGATAATTATTTTTGTTGTTATTATGATACACATCTGTCCTGGCTTCCTGTCAGGGAAAATGCCCAAAGCACCAAACAAAACAAAACAAAACAAAACAAAACACACCAATAAAACATATAAAGGATACTATAAAATTAGTAATAAACAGCAAGCATAAACGCAAGTACCCGTTTTTATGTTGCAGATGGGAGATTTCACATCTGACTGATTTCCCACAAAAATATCTCAGTACACAAAGGTAACTAGAATGCCTGGCAAGAGAGGCTCATCTAGAGTCCTTGTTCCTGACACTTTTTGATCTGCAAGGGAGATTTCTTTTGGGGAAAAGCTTTCAACATGAACAATCTCTGCATTTGCAGCCCTGAAGGTCATTCCATGCAATTCTGCTACACATGCAAATAAGCTCTCATTCATTAGCGTTAACCAACTCACCCGAGCAATCAACTCCCCCACCATGCCAGTCCAGCTTCCATTAGCCTCGGGGACGCCGTACACTCCATCACCAACCAGCTGGATCTTGTAGTTGAAGTGCAGGATCGCGGCCAGTTCTGCCAGCATGTCCATGCAGAAGCCTTCGTATTGGTCGTTCCCTTCCAGCTCTTGGTGGTTTCCCTTGAGCATTAAGTAAGGGTTTTCCTGCATCGAAACTGGGCAGCTGTCATTCCCATCTTAGTCATGGAGTCGCAACAGCACTAGATTTAGCACAAATCGGAAAGCAGGGGCAGGTGATGCGATGGACTCCCCTGGGAATCACCAGGAAGGAAACAGTCTCTGGGAAAAGATTCTCCAGACTCTCTCCTCTTCCTTTCAAGCTCATCTGGGATGCAGCAATGGCAAACTAGATCCAAACTGGGAGATTCCGCACCCCCCTCCAGTCCCTCATGATTGGTGGACTGAAAACTATTTCATTCTGTTTAAGTGGCATCCATATTAGAAAATGGATTAGTAAGGGAAGCTTTGTCCCACTCCATCCACCAGCTGATTACCTTGGCAAGTATAGGGTGGAAGCCAGGTGTGGCCTGTGGGCTGCCAGTTCCCTGAGTACAGTCTACTGGGAAGACAGTAGCCTTCTTCAGCCAGGTGCCCTCCAGATGTTTTAGATGAGAACTCCCATTATCCCTGTCCATTGACCATCCTGGTTGGAACAGATGGGAGCTACAGCCCAAAACATCTGGAGGGAATCAAGTTGGCATAGCCATCCCTTGAGTCTTTCAACTGGAAAATATTCAGTTAGAGCACAAAGTCTCTCTGAGTCTGGGGTTGAGAAGAATATGGACAAAATATAGACCACAGATGGAGACTTCAAGTATTCCAGGAGATGAAGAATAGCTTAAGCAAACCAGAAAGCATTTGGCCATGGTGGAAGATGAGCAATGCAAGGAGTTATGAAAATGAGCACCTACAAATATAAGCCTAGATGACTCAAACTGTACCCATCTTAACAACCACAAGAAGTTTTACATAGACAGAAGAGGTGACCTACCCTCTCCATAGCCCAACTAGGTCTATAAGCAAACTGGCATGTGGAGAGAGGAATTTAAAATTGTGATGCATGCTCTCATTCTAACCCTCTCCCCAGCCACTTCTGAACTCATCAGATATAGTTTCCATGTGATGTGTACCAATGTGAGTTTAATTGAGATGTCATAAATGATTTCTGGTGCTGCAGTTGGTGGTTTGACCATCTGTTTCTTCAGGGACTCAGCGTGCGACTCTTTTCATGGAATGGATGGGCATGTGGAATGGAAGGTTTGTATCTGGAGGTTGCCCCTGAGATGCCAGAGCAGAAAAGGAGGTCACCAAGACCCTCCACGCTTACCAGGATGGTGGTGACAATGAGCGTGGTGTTGAAGAGGCTCTCTGACACATTGGAAGAGAAGATCTGGTTATCCATTGTAAGGCCTTTGGTAACATGCCAGTGACCGATCTGTAGGAAAGAACAGCAGAGTCATTGACATTGACAGTGGGAATTGCTGCCATGTGGCTGCACTGACTTACAACTGGGCCACACCAAAATCATGTCAGAGAGAGAAAGAGAAAGAGAAAGAGAAAGAGAAAGAGAAATGAAGTACCCTTTGGCTTTGGCAAACCCAATGAGGATCTGGGGAGGGGGTGAGCTAGTCTTGTCATGGGCCTGATTCCAAGGGGTCCACAGTAGGAGGAAGTGATGCTTAAAAACTCTTTATGAGCAGGATGCTGCATAGTGTCTGGGAGGCAGGCGACTTCAGGGCGAAAGTCCCCACAGACTAGAGGTTGACACTATTAGTTCCTCCATTGAGAGCCACTGTAGCAGATTATTTCAACATGAAAACAAATATATATTTATCCCCTCCACTGCTCTGTTTGGAGCAAAAGCACATTCTCTATGGTGCTCTTAGCCACTAATGACCCTGATCTCTCATCCTCTATTGTTGCTGCCTCAAGATTAATTAACCCTTTCCAAATGACACCGTTCAAGCTAATCAACCCAACTATCCAACAAGGATTATAATCTGCCCCATCTAAGCTTCCATGCTATTCTTATTAAAACTAATTTACACTCTCCAGCAGCAATAGAATGGGGCCATAAATCCTCCCTGACACACTGGAAGTCTAGCTCTCCCCTTTGTGCAGCAGAAATATCACAAGATCAAGGAGATATTTGGGGTCCTGAGCTCCCAGCTTTTCCAGTCTGGATGGGAGTCACTCACTTTCAAGATGGATTTTTCTCCTACTGTGAATACTGATCTTGTCTTCCCGCTGACCCAACTTTTTGGCAGGTCCCTAAGTAAGTACTATAGTCAATCCAGGTAAACTGCTGAAGGGCTGAATTTGCTAGAGCAAGGCAAAATGCAGCTCAGCTCTTCTGCAAGTTTTGGTTGGGAGGTATGATAACTTTATTAAATCTTTGCCCCTGTATATCTCATATCTAAGGTCTTCCAAGAAACTGGAGGCATGTGAAGTGGAGGTTAGAACTTCCATTGCCCACAGATTTTTTTTTACACTTCTTGTGTCTTGGAAACTGACATCCAATTATCTTGATGCATCTATGCTTCTGACACAATACACACAGATACTGGTGAAATTAGTTGTTTATGTCCCGTCCATGTTTTAGTGGTGCTCAAAAATCCATGCCTTAATGCTCAGATGTTGGGTAAGTTTGGAGTTTCCAAACCACTGCACAGGTTTTTTGTAAGAGTTGATGGAGAGGACTCTGGAACCTTATTCTACCACCCACCCAGAGAAATGCTGTTAGCACGTCATCTTACAAAGACTGCCAGTTGTTTGTGTGTGTGTGTGTGTGTGTGTGTGTGTGTGTGTGTGTGTAAGCTTGCTAAGGCCTCCAACCTCAAGACCTGAAGCGGCGTTTTATTTGTCCTTTGGCTACCAGCATCTGACAGTTCCCAAACCAGGTCAAAACAGAGACACCATTATTTTGGGGGGATATTATCATGTCCTCTTATTATCAGTATCTATGATGTGGGAAAAGCTGAGCCCTTGGCTCAGTTCCAGTGTCATCGCCTAAGAACCTAAGATCCTGCTGAATCAGGCCAATGGCCCATCTAGTCCAGTCACACAGTGGCCTACCAGATGTTGGTAGAACATGAGACTCTTAATATCAGGGTCATGGGTTTGAGCCCCACATTGGCCAGAAGATTCCTGCAGTGCAGGTGGTTGGTCTATGTCAGATGCGGATGGTGGTTGCTCGTGAGTAACCAACCAGGACTCCGACCTGTCTTTTACAGGTTTTATTTGGTGCAAACTATTTACAGTGCATAACCACAAAGTTCATCTCCTTCTCAGTCACTTGCAGAATCTGGGAGTGGCCCCTTCCGGCTTCTCCTCCAACACAAGAACTTCAGCACCCCAAGCCTGCACCTCCCCTCCTTGCGTTTCACCCCTCTGCGCAAGGTGGCCGACGGAAGTGGTGTGTGTGCCTCCTGGCCAGCCGGGCAAGGTGAGGCACTTGGGCTCTCAGCAGCATTTTCAAGCCCTCTCCTCACTTGGCTGGCCCCTTCCCTCTCTGCTCCACTGGAGGTGTGGCTTTCCCCACCGCTGGACGAGGAGCTGCTCCTCAGAATCATCGGAGGCTCTCTGTATTCCCCTGCCTCCCTCCCCTGTTCTGATGACAGTCCCCTGACAGTCCAGATGGCCTTTGTGGTTCCTTCCAGTTCTATGATTCTATGTCTGTAGGAAACCCTCAAGCAGGATTTGAGCACAAGAACACCCTCCCCTCCTGTGGTTTCCACTAACTGGCTTTTGGAAGGTTTACTGCCTCTGAGTGTAGAGGCAGAGGATGGCCATTATGGCTAGTAGCCATCCCTAGCCTTCTCCTCCATGAATTGGCCTCACTCTCTTTTAAAGCCACCCAAATTTGTGGCCACCCCTGCCTGCTGTGGGAGCAAGTTCCACAGTTTAACTCTATGCACCGTGTGAAGAAGGACTTTCTTTTATCACTTTCTCCATGCAAGACATAATTTTATAAATGTCTATCATGTCACCCCGACTCGCTTTTTCTCTAAACTAAAAAGTCCCAAATACCGCAAGCTTTCTTCAGAGCAGAGCTGCTCCGTCCTCTTGATAACTTGTCATTTAGCACTCCTTTGAAAGTATGCTAACTCATCAAAGCCTCATCACCCCCTTGTGGGATGGCGAGGGCTTGCATTCCCTGGCAGATGGAGAAAGGACTTGCCCCTGGGACGCAACCGTTGGAGCAATAAAAGAATAGACCGCAAGTGGTCCTGGAGTCTCTTCAAAACTAGAAACTTGTCCTGCACCAACTGAATACCGGATTGGCTGGTGCAAATCTCCTGACACAAATGCTCTTTAGCTGCTTGAAATCCCACTTCAGTTTAATGCAATAATCACTTTAAGTGGAATTTAAACTGGTTTAAGTGAGCATGTAATAGAAGTGTGGTCTGATATAACTAGATTGGTATTGACTACATGGGAGCAACATTTTCAGATAAAGTTTTAACACCCCCCCTTTTTAAAAAAAGAATAATAATAATACTTGCCTAGGTGTTTAATGAACAGACATGGTGAATGGCTGTAGGTCAGTGGTAGAACATCTACTTTGCATCTCCAGGTAGGGCTGGGAATTTTCCCTGCCTGAAACCCTGGTGAGCTGCTTCCAGACAGTGCTGCCAGTACTGAACTAGATGGACCAATGGTCTGAACTCAGTAGAAGGCAGTGCCCTGTGTTCCTATGTGAGTCTTTAGATGGCTTCTTGTTTTGGGCCTCAAGGGCTTCTTTCTCTGCTGTTTTATCCAGATGTTTTATTGACTGTTCTTTTTAAGCAATTCTTCTAATTGCTGTTATTAATGTGGTTCATTGCAAGACTTCTTGGGCATTTTTAAATATAATGAGGGACTAATAATGAGCAACCTGGCCACCCAGCTAAGTGAGCATTTGCCCAGGGGGCATCCCAGCTCAGAGCCCATGCTCCTAACCACTATGCTCCACCAACTCTTCTCCTTGATAGTGATCACCAACGCTCTCCATAGCACATCCTCCATTCCTCCCAGAGCAGCTATTTAGTATCAGATAAACTTTAATTCTGACAACTCTCTAGGTCAGTAATTTCTTCCTTCCCTGCTGGCATGCGGAAACTAATTGGCCACTGTCAGCGCTGCCTCTGATGCAGGAATGGATGTGACCCTTGCCTGTGTGATGGTGCCAAGGCTAAGTACATCAATGTGTCAAGGTTATTCTGCCCCACACTGTGCTTACACAGACTTGGAGATGACTCTCTTGATGGCATGGTAATGGCACTAATTGGCTCCCACAGTCCTCTGTGCCTGAAGTGGGATACAACAGAGAACAAGAACACACCACATTGGCTCTCTCAGATGGTTGGGATATGGAGCTGGCTGCATATTACGGTCACTACATGAAAAGCTCTTTTCCGCCCCCTACTGAAAAGTTTGGGGCTGCTCCATCAATAGGTAGAGAGAGCTGCAGGGGATAAAAAGCTTACACGCTGTAAAAGAGGAGACACCGCTTGACGTTTCCGACTGTTTTCCAACAAATCTTTATCTCGCCTGGCTAATTTTCTGTATACCTAAGGAGATGTCAGGGAACTGCCATCAGTGCCGGAGGGAGAGAGCAAAATCCAGAGGGATTCCAGAGAGCGTCCCGGGATTGGGAGAGGCAGCCCATCTTCTGGGGAAGAGAATCAGCGTAGCACCAGTGGAAAAGGGGGGCAGATGGGGGAAGCAGCGAGGCGGTCCCATGACTCCTTGCTGGGGACCAGCGGGGAGAGTAGAGGTCCTCCGCTGCCTATGCCCTCCTTGTGCAGAAGGCTTTCGCGCAGAGAGAGTAGGAGGAGACTAGGCGTCAAAGAGCTTCTTTGCTGGAAGAAGTTTAAGAAACGCCCACTGACGGATTCTGCCAGCGATTGAGACAGCCACGGGTGAGTGGCTATCCGGACAGAAAAGGTTCACTCAGGCAACCCAGCCAGGTGTTTGCACCGGCTTACGCACGGGCAACCCCTAGAACCACTACAGGAGAGTTAGCTGTTAAAGGAGCAATGAGGCCTGACAGGTTTTAACAGTAATCAGAACGTGCACCGTGGACGACAAAGGTGTGTTGTTCAGCAGCAATTAACACAAAGAGACAAATGTAGGTTAAACCTGGCCACAATTTTGTTGGTTACAGCAGATCAGAGTTTGGTGCTGCATAGGGCAAGGATCCTGCTCTAGGGAAGCTCACTTGCTGGTTGGTATCTCTCCCAGCCTGGCTGCCGGGCAGTCTGGAGGGAGTTGCCAGGCAGTTAGAACCACCATGGCACAGGTTGTTCCTGTGGGTCCTGCCAGAGGCCTGGTTGTGTGGCAGCTGGCTCCCTTCTCTCAAGCTGGAGCTGAGGCCTTAGAACACAGCACTGGAGAAGGAGAGGGGATGTTAATAATTCCCCTCATGCAGTTGTAATTGCTCCCCCTCCCTTCAAGCTACTGCTTACTCCATAAAGCAAAATGAGTACCTGAATGTTTTGCCCTAAAGGGCAAATAGCAGTTTCACAGGATTTGCATCAGGAAAAGTGTGTGTTGTGCATGTAAGGGTTAAACCGTCCTTTCTCCATGTTGCAGAGCTGGCTGGATTTGGACCTGACCTGTAGCTGCCACTAAACTTTTGCAAAGACAGCAGGAGATCCTATCACGGATTTCTAGCTGTCATCTCTATCTTGGCCCTAAGAAGACAGATAAGGAGGCAGGTTTCCAGCTACACCACGAGTCAATGGTGGTAGCTCCTTGCTGCCCTCTATGGGCAGTGAGGAGGTTCAGGCAGGGAAAAGACAGGATTTATGAGGCAAAATCCTGGCAATGTTCCCCAGTGGGGTCTGGGGAGCTCACTGCATCCCGCTGTGCCATGGAAGCCCGTGTCTGCCAAATTGAAAGGCAGAGAACAGGATCCTGGACTAGATTGGTCTGATCCAGCAGAACTGTTATCTTCTTAGATGCTGACCTTAAGATTGCAATTCATTCATTTCATGAATTTGGAAAATGTGCACGCCCTTTCCATCAAATGTTCTCCTATGTTACTGATGTTGCTCAAGAATTATAAGAACCAAAAAAATCAGTGCGGTTTCGAAATCAGGGGTTAAAATCCCTGACGTTTTGACAGGTTCAGCCTGCCATCTTGATTCAAAATGGTGCCCCTTTATATCCAAACACAGATGAAAACATGCTCTTGGGAACCACAATGCCAAATTTGGTTACAATATCTTCAGAAGTGTCCAAATGCAGAGTGAGCACAACTTTCCAAAATACATATTAGATTATTATAGTAACAGAATGATGCAATCAATGCTAATCTAATGATGGTAGTTATTATGCACCCTCCACATTCAGAGGTGGTGTGTCACTGCATAGCAGCAGCTGGGGAGCCACAACAGAAGAGGGCTGTTGGCTTCATGCGCTGTTCATTGCCTTCCCTGTGGCATCTGGTTAGCCACCATGGGAAGCAAGATTAGGAACCAGATAGACTGTTGGTCTGATCCAGAAGGACTCTCATTGTGTTCTGAAAAGACATTCCAACAGCCCTTGTTCCTATGCCTGCTGGCAGGGCAAAATGCCCCTCCTCTCACTTCTGTAGTCTCAAGACAACTAGCATTTTGAGCAGAGTTTTTTTCAGGCAGGTAGCTGGGGAAGAAAGCACATAAGCCATCTATAGCCTTTGGTAAGTAGAGCCCTGTAAGGTTCTGATGACAGCTCTTTCCCTCCATCAAAGCTCCCAGCTGCCTCCCAGCACAGGCCTTCACACACCATCCTGACTGATGAATTGAAAGCAAGAAGGGCTCCATGCACCCGCTTCTCCCAGTGAGGGTTGATACCAAGGAGAGATGACATTCTGAGTCCTCCATGCCCTCTAGACACCAAAGCACCATCCTCGATCTTCCGAGCCTGGAAGCAGCGCTGTGAACTGGCAGCCTTGAATATGCATGGATGGGGTGACTCAAAACAGGGTGGCTATTTTGCCTGAAATGAAGGTAAATTTGCTTTGTGCTCATGACACATTTATCATGATGGCTCCTTCTCCTTCCCCAAAGGGGAAAAAAGCAATTGTCATTCACTTCTGGATATCTTTGTCATTGCTAATGGGAGTGGGGGAAGAAAGAATATGTTTTAGCACAAGAGACAGCAAGGCAACCA